GCAGGGAGCCGGCCCGGCTTGGCCAGTGGGCCGGAGGTCTGTTGGGTGGGTTAAAGGGCTTTTTCTTCTACCTTTTTTTTTTTCATTTGGATGGGGATTCTTTCTTTTTATGCTTTTCTGTTGGTTTGGGTTTGTTTTTTCCCCTTTCACTTCCAGCAAGTCCTCCAGCAGAAAGCGGGAATTAAAAACATGAGAGGCAGAAGTGTATGCCTAGGGATTTTAATTTTTTCTATTTTTTTTTTCCTAAAGACAAGGAAAGTTAATTCAAAATGGCTGCTGGAACCGGCTTAGGTTTTATTCTTGGCTTGTCCTAAGGTTGTATTAACAATATCTGCGGCCAGGCAGTGCCGAAAGGCCGGGGAGATGCCGGGCCGCCGGCCGGCTGGCTGTGGGAAGGGGCCGGGACGCTGCGGGAGGCGGCGGGGGGTGCCGGAGCCCCTCTGTGGGTGCCCCCTTCCCCATGCACGCTGCTGTGGGACTAACTATTGTTGTGTTTGGGGTTTTTTTTTGTTTCGTTATGATATTTTCCCCCCCTCTGTGTGTGTGACTATTGTATTTTCTTTCAGACACCCCCTGTTCCCTCTTTTAGCACTGATTTTTGAGAAATGTGAATTAGCTACATGCACACCCAGGGAGCCCGGGGTAGCGGGAGGCGATGTTTGCTCCTCTGAGTCTTTCAATGAAGACATAGCAGTGTTCGCCAAACAGGTCAGCAAAACCGGGTTGAAAACAGTAAAAGCAAAAAAAAAAAAAAGAGGGGAAAAAAAAATCGTATCGAGAAAAACAAGTCTCTGTTGAGATAAAGATGCGCGTTTCCCCCTCCCCCTCTCTTACTGAAAGAGGCATAAAAACCAAAACAGAAAAATCCCCAAAACCCCAACCAAAACAAAACACGAGGGAAAAAAAAAAAATCAGGAAATCTCGGCATTTACTACCCCCCTTAAAAAATGGATGAAGTGGAGCGGTCTGTGCCCGGCCGGGAGTTTCGCTGCGCGGCTCCCGGGCGCCGGGACGGGCTCTGCCGGGGAAGATCCATAGGTATTTTTCAGTGTATTTGATTCACTTGCTCAAGTGTTTGGCTGATGTACTAAATCCAGCAGTCAGGGCTTTGCACGGAAGGTTACATAATGGACCCGACAGTGTAATGAAGCAAGAAATAATAACGTCTGCTTTTTTCTGCTTCCATATTTCAAATAATTTTTATTATTATTTCCCCCCCCCCTTTCTTACATTTAGATCCGAGCAGAGAAACCCCTCTTTTCCTCTAATCCTGAACTGGATAACTTGGTAAGAGTTAACACTTCTTCCTCTCCCCACCCCCACCCTCCCTTCCCTTCCAATTTATTTATTATTTTTTTAAACTTCTGTGTCATCTGGAGAGGTGGTTTGGTGGTGCTAAATTGAAAATTTCTCACGTGGATTTAAAAAAATTATAATTGTTGCAATGATTACTTTTATATTTACAAGTAAACATGGTGTGGTAATTGCTTGGAAGTAAAAAATCCCATAAGGATATACATAAAGGAAAACCCCATCCAAAGAGGAGCTGGCAGGCTTGATGGTGAGCTTGCCTGCCCAAGAGGAGCGGTGGATTTATCTCCACTCTAACCAGCCCCTCCACCTTTTAAGCAGCTCGATGGGAAACAGAGAGGATTACAATGACTGGAGATGCACCAGTGGCAAATTCACTGAAAATGAGGTCGTTTCTCTCTTTCTTTCCTTCCCCCATTAAGAATAAATATTTTGCCTCCACTGTAGGAGTCCTGCACCCGCTTTCACAAAGCGAGGAGCCAATGGTGGTGTTTAGAGGGTTGGTTTTTTTTTTTTTTTTTAAGAAATGTTTATGATCCGTATAATTCAGTTGCTTCATTGCAATTGGGATTTTTTTTTTTTGTTAACTCTAGGTCGCTTCTCGTTAAACAGCGCACAAAGCCACCGCTATTAAATTTTAGTGTTATTGCCATAAATCAAAACAACTTTTTATTTACTACTAGAGAAAAGTCAAGCTACAAAGTGTGGCCGAGGTGGCTGTGGGAAATATCCCCAAATCCAGGAATGAGATTAATGCTCATGTTGTTTGTGTCTTTGCAGATGATTCAAGCCATACAAGTATTAAGGTTTCATCTGCTGGAATTAGAGAAGGTAATTTTTGTCTCTCTCGCTTTCCCTCTCTTTCTGTCTACCTTCCCCCCCCTCCTTTCTTCCTCCTCTGTTTCAGTACTGCTGAAGTTCAGGCTTCTGGTAAATTTGCATAAATGTCTTTCTTTCTGGTAATTAGTGTCAAGACCAATCTTGGCGTCCATTTCTCTTCGCAGTTTAATTACAATTTCAGCCTCTAAAACCGAGCTCTCGAACGCCCAGGCCTTGTGTTCATTGTAATACTTTGCTGGCTTTGTATAAATAGTTGCAGTTCTGTGGTGCCGCAGATGAGACTCGAAATGGTTAGTTCAGTCAAGCCCCTGAAATTGTGATTAAAAAAAAGAGATATTGTTTTTTTCTTGGTGATGGTGAAGAAGAGACTTCGGTTGCAGTTAGTTGGAAGGGGGGAAAGTTTTTTATTTTTTTTTTAAGAGCCGTCTGCAGGTCAGGCTCGGGGCGCGGATTGTCCTGTAACATTTTGCAGAGACAAAGCAGAGTTGATAGTTCTGTCTGTCTCTTGTTCCTGGGAATATTGTACACCTCTGAGCAGAAGAAAGAGATTGCAGCCTGAACTCAGGATTTTTTTGTTGGCTGTTTTAGAAATCTTAGGAGGGAGAATGCTAATTTCTAAGCGGGCGGTGTCATTCGAGCTCACGTTAAATTGGAAGTGCGCTCTGGGTTTCCTGAGGATTTTTTACGTGTCATTGATAGCTGGCCTAGGAGAGAATTCCCTTTCTCCTAAAAATAAACATTTTGAGAGGTTTTTAAATAGTTGAAAAGTTTCTCATGAGCCTCAGTCACTTTATCTAACCGAAACTGTCAGGTTGTTCTCGCTCTACCAAAATGTGTTAAAATCTGCCCATTAATAAAGGCGGCTCAGGTACAAGTCTATCAGAGCAACTGGGGATTTCAGGGCATGGATGCCTATAATGTATTTCAGTGCAGTGCATGTGGATTTTTTTTTTAATTCTTTTTTCTGTCCTCATACCCCTTTGGAAAGGGTTTATGATGAAATAACTGGATGAAATTAAATAGTTTACCTTAAATGTCACCCATGCAGGTCACCTCTCTAATGGCCACAGCTCCGGGAGCAGATGAATTTAACACGGGTGTTGAATACGTTGTAGCCTGTGAATCATCTTGTCACTGTCAATTTTCTGGGATATCTCTATTTTGTGAGAAAAGAAAGTTATTCCTAATTCTGGATGCGTCTAGAGGTCTCAGGGGGATAATTGCAGTGTGTTTCCCCTATTTAGGACTTTTGATGTCACAGGGGCGAAGGGGGGAGACTGGTTGCACTTGTCAATTTTACTTATGTATTCCTGATTATATTTTCTTCCTTTTTTTCCCCCCCTCTGTTCTTTCTTTTTCTTTTTTCTTCTTTCTTTTTTTTTTTTTTAACCTTTGTCATAATGTAGGTACACGAATTATGTGACAATTTCTGCCACCGGTATATTAGCTGTTTGAAAGGAAAAATGCCTATCGATTTGGTCATAGACGATAGAGAGGGCGGATCAAAATCGGACAGTGAAGACATAACAAGATCAGCAAATCTAACAGATCAGGTATGATCTCGCCAATGTCGCACAACGCTAAAATTTGTATGCAGATCGCTTGCTGGGTCACTACGCCTCCTTTTATTATTTGCATATGATTAAGTCCCTTTTAGATAAATTTCCATCGAAATGAAAATTTTTGAATAATGTGGCTATTATTGCTTCATTAAGGCTTGCTCCCAGATTCGACCTGGCAAGATGAGCTTGTAAAAGGATCGCCTGCAAACTCGACCTGTTTCTTGTCGCTTTTAATTTCTGTCTTTATTTTATTTACCCTTTCCAATAATAGAAGTGGTATCTGTGAATCACTGGCTTCTTGGTAGCTTAGGGAAGGAAGGGCTGGAGTCGTTGACCAAAATAATAATAAAATCCGAGATAGGTGGTCCAGAGAAGACAGAGAGGGTTTGAAATCTAGCAAATACTGGCTATTTTCTTCCCGTCTCTACGGTTCATTAGTTCGTCTTGTCAGTTTTCCGTGGCCGAACGCTTTTAGACTTGAGTGAACATTGCTTTGTGCACGCCTGCCTGCTGCAAACGCGCCCATTTTATTTTACTTAATAGGAAAAAAAAAAAGGAGAAAATAAAATGGGATTCAGGTTTTAAATTCTTTACCTTGATGTTTTAAGTTTTCAAGACCTCTCTTTAAAGAATAAATATAGTCAAAGCCAAGCCAGCAAAGCCTCGCGTGGCTGTGACGGTAGTCCAGGTTTTGTTTGGGATGGTTCAGACCTTTAATGTCGGCTGCAGCGGGGTGGGAAATGCGGGTGAGCTGAGTGGGGAGAGCTGGCTGTCCCCTCTCCCATCCCTCCTCCTTCCACTGGGTGCAGGCTGGGATCCTTGCCTTTTCATGAGAGCACTTGGGGCTAATGCAGGAGGTGTCCAGATCTAAATTAAGGTCCTGGATGATGATAGTGACTGAGATTTGGCTTGTACTCGAGTTGGGTGAAACGGTGGGGTTTTCGCGGTCCATTTGTTTGCTCTGAACCAAGGGCTTTGCCTGTGAGAGAGGGGACCTCAGGCACACGCACAAAAAAGAAATCCCTGATGAAACCCCCCAAGTTATTTCTTCTTTTTGATCAGCTACGTAAATATAGTGTTAGGAGTGATCTGCTCCTGACTCTGGAGGTTTCCTTTTGTTCAAGCAAGGCGCAGCCAAGCAGACAGGGGTTTCCTCAGCTGCTTTGCTGTTATCACTGGCACTGTCAGCTGGGAGTTATTTTATAGATCACCGACATAAAGGTGCGTTGCATTGCAGTGTGAGCAGTATCTGAAATATTTTCTCCTATCTACCAAAGGCTGTTGGTTTGTGACAGCGGAGGCAGGCTTGAAGGAAGGCATGAACTTTTAGAAAGGGGTTTATGTGCACATAGGTAGGTTGTTTTGAAGGGATTTTTTTTCCCCACCCAGTTTTGCTGTACAGGGGAAAAGCTTGGCAGAGTGGGTGGAGGGTGGTGTGGCAGGGAGGTGCCCAGGGCTGGTGAGGATGCTCCTGGGAGCCGCCGGCCCCACGCAGCACCTTAGAGCGAGGGGAACCCTTCAGCCAGGGTCTAGCTGAGGGAAGCTCGACTCGCTGATGTTGAATAAAAATTGTAATCCAACAAGTCTAACTAGAAAATGGGTTTCTAAAAGCTCTGGAGTGCTGGGTACATAAAGCTATTTGAGCAAATTACAAGAATTGCTCAGGGGCACGAATGAAATCAACACTTTAATTGCCTCCAAAATGAAGATTTATACCCCATTTTCCCAACGAATCATTATTTTATTAAAGTGAAAGCTAAAGAAATGGAGCTGCAGTTTTGGGGTTGTTGGGGGTCGCTGTGTTTCTCCGCCAGTCCGCGCCCCCCTTTTCGTTGCCCGAAGCGCGGACATTGCGCCGTGCCCTCTCCCGCTGCGCGGCCCGGCCGCGCTGGGCCGCGGGGCTCGGCGCCGGCACGCCCGGCTGGTGCGAGCGCTGCCCCGGCTCCGCTCCGGGCAGCGGGGCGCGCAGCCGCGCACACACCCGCCCGCACCCGCGGAGCTGCGCGGGGAGCGGGGCTTTGCTTTCCGTGTTGAGGGGAAAAGGTGCAAAAGTGCGCTTTTCCGCCCTCCTCTGCCCCGGCCGATGGGGCGGCGGATCGAGCCTGGGAGATCGGGCGGGCGGCGCGGGGGGGTTACTGGGGGATGCGCAGTCCCCCGCGCCCTCCGGTAAACTGCGGTGCCAAACCCGGCCCCGGCGCGGCCGGCACTATCGGGGCCCTAATGGTTCAATAATAAGGTGTTGAGTGCTGGTCGCCGGGGAGGCTAATTAGGATGTGACTGCGCGGGGAGCGTTTATGGCTGCGCGGCCCTGGGATGCGCGGGCGCGCAGGGCCGCGCGGTGGGAGCGAGGGGCTGGCTCCGGGCGTGGGGCCCCCCGCCTGCCCACGCTCTGCTTGGGAGAGTAGTAAAAGAGTAAGTATGTAAAAGCTTTTATTATGGATTTAATTACATTTTCTTATATTGTGGCAGTAAAGGTTACAGTTAACAGGGTGTTTTTTTCTTTTAATTTATTGGTTTCCTCTTATTTATTCTTTCCCTAAAGGCCCCTCAAAGCCAGTGCCTTTAAGTCCCCCCGGTTAATAGAAAGCAATGACACTAATGCTAGATTTTGCAAAGTAAAGCCCTATAACACTAACCATTGTTCAGTGATTTAACCAGCTCAGTGGCACTAGGTCACTAAAATAGCATCCTTCTCCCACGGGCTCGACCCCACTGCCTGCCAGGGTGCGATCTGCAGAGTTGGTGTTTACCGTCACAGCTCCACAAGTACAAGGCAGGAGTCTGGGCTTTTTGCTGGGGAGAGCTGAACTCAAAATCATCCAGACCCCGGGACTTTAAAAAACCTAGCTGAAGAATTGCAGTCATCCTCAAAAGTTTCAAAATAAACCTTTTTTAATCATTAGCTTTTCAAACATTTGCATGTTTAAATTTTCAGTGTTTGTCAGAGCCCAGAAAGATTTAGAACACAGCTGTTGTGTGATGTGTCTGGGAAAACTCCCTCTGATTTAAAAAAAAAATACCCAAAGACTGCCTATAGTCTGACAAGAGAAATTCAGTTTTGTAGGTAATCCTGAACTGTTATTGTGGGGCTGCATTTTTGAAGCCACATTACCTTGGCACTCAGGTGTCTAGTCCAAACTGTAAAATTCTTCTACAAGAGCATGTCTACAAAAAAAGCCTTTAGAAAGTCCTTTAAAGAAAACATGGTACAAAGCACCTGCCACATTCAAGTAAAATGCATTAGCTGTGTAAGATAGATTTTATAGGGACAAAACAGTATTTTGCTTATTGAAAATAAACTTGTTGAGCCCATCCACCAGAGCATTGCTTGACAAAAATTGCGATTTAATAATGCACAAGCCAATTACAGATGCAGAAACTTTTAAAGGCAAATCGTCGAAGAGCCAAATTCCTATAGGAGCTATGAGGGAAATGATCAAAAAATGAACATGAAATAAGACTTCCTGCAAGAAGGTCCATAATTCAACATTATTTGACTCCACTGTCAGGGAAATTGTTGAAGGATAGTAAACCGATACTGGAGTCTCAGTCATTTTTGTTACAGTCTTAAATGTTTGCAACTGTGACGTTTTAGATGGCCCTTCTTGGGCGATAATATATCACATATATACGCACATATATAATAAAGCAACACCTCTATTTATGTTGCAATAGATTTTATTTTAATGTGTGTAGTTGCGGAGTTGCTCTAACAAAAATGCAGATAGACAGCAGCTTTTTTTTTTTAATGGAACAATTACCTAAAATTTGTTCTTTACAAAGAAAGAATCATAAACTGGAATCCAATAAAATACATAGCCAAAAGTGGTAGAGTTGTTCAGGGCATCGACCGGTTACGGCTAGACTTAACTTTCCAAATTCTCAAATATATTAGCTATACCTTGTAGCCAATACAACAATCATGCCTTAGGGAAAAAATTACTGAGAAATACTATTTTACTTTGGGACTTCTTCACAGGTACTTTCAAACCATATATGATTTTAAAGACGAGAGCTAAAAATATTGCTGCCTTTAGGGTTTATGCTCTCATATTGGAGGAACAGGCATCAAAATAATAGATGTGGTGCAGAGGGTGCAAGGTAGAATTCATTTCTGCATAATAAAAGAGTTACAGCAAAGTACGACTGAGGATGACCAATACATTATGTTTAAAAGACTTGAAATTTAATTTTCTTCCTGTTACTTTGTCACTTTGAGACAGTGAATCCTTTTTTTTGTTTGTTTTTGAGTAATTTTTATTATTTTTTGCTGTGATATTTAGAAGTTGTTACCATGCCCCAGTTAGGCAGGCTATTTACGTGAAGATGGGATATGTTAAATTCTGTTCCAGACATATTTTCATCTGATACACCCTGGCTGAAAGTGTATTAGCAAAATAAAATTTTCTTTGCTCTCCATTTCTTTAAGTGAGTAAATACATTGTTGTGTAGACATAAGATTGAATATATTTTCTTTAGTTTATTATTTCAGTTCATGAATCCTTGGGGTTCTTTTTTAATTTTAATCATTCAAGAGCCCAAAAGGGGCCATCCTTACAGCTGGGTGCCTTCCTGAAGTTGCATGCTCAGGAAAAATTTCCATGTAAAGTTTTCCAAACTGAAGTTAGGTCTTGTTGTAAAGGATAGTTTAATTCCTGGATTTTTGGGGAATTCTTCTCAACATCAGACCTGACAGAGCTGAGTTTAAACCCCAGTTAACCTCAGAACTGATCCTAAACATTTGCGCGTGTATCCCAAGGCATTCCTGTAAGCCAGAGTTTGCCGTGGCTGCGTTAGGAACCATGGATTGTTATTTTGGGGCAACTTGGAGGCTTGAAAGTTATGAAAAAATGAGTTTTACCTTAAGTTTAACCTTTATGGCTGAGGATTTGAGTTTTTCTATGGCTGCTAGTCCGCAGGTAACAATAAAGGTAATGGGCTCTGCATGCAGAAGGGTTACTGCAGCCCCGTGTGGGCAATGTTAGACCTTA